AGAAAATTAAATAAATTTTGAAAAAATAAAAATATTTAAAAATTAAAATTCTGGTTATAACCATTAAAACAAAGAGGTAGTAAATAGAGTTTGTTAGAAAATCTTCAAATATCTTCAGACAATCAAACAGATTTGGAGCTGAGATGGCTCTGGGGATAGAGCATTCGCCTTCCAATGAGGTGAATTGGATTGAATCAAAGCTATCACCAGTCTATGTGAATTCTGCACCCGGCTCGCACCGACCACAGTTTCGATTTAAAATGTCCTCAGTGGTAGACGGATCATGGGTAAGAGTCCCCTTGGTTAATAAGCATGTTTTGGTGGTTTTCCTCTCCATGAAATGCAAATGCGGATTATTTCCTTGAAAAAGTCCTCAACGAAGCCAAATTTCACCCAATACTTAATCCAGGAATTCCCTTGTCTTCTGGATTGGGTTCAAAATTACAAGGCTACGGAGTTGAACATTAGTAGTAGTAAACCCAAAATTGGGTTAACTGTTCATCCGTGGTTATAAAATTAAAAAAAATGAAACAAATTTTTATACTTTGAATTGTATTTTAAATTTGATGATTTGTTAGATTGCGATAGTATTTTTATTTTTTCTCTGATTAAAAATAGATTTTTAACCTTTATTGTGTGTTTCAGTATATTTTTAGCAAGGGTTGTAAAATTTTTTTTTACAGGATTTCATGACGGAACAGACTTTATATTAAGACGGATCACTTCAACCACTCTTTACCTTCCTATCTCTTATAATTTTAAAAAATATTATTGTTGGACAATACTTTGTTTTTCTTTAAAAATTTCGTCTGTCTGAAGAAATGGAAGAAAATTAAGCAAATCAAACGTAATTTCGTATTTTATATTGCAGGTTAATTTTGCAGGCTGACTTGCAATATTCCATGTTGCAGGTTAGATTTTAAGTAATATATTATTAATGGATTTTTAAAAAAAAAATTTAAATGGTGATAAATGTCGTAACATTTGTGAAAAGTAGACAAATATAAAGAAATATTTTTAAAACTCTTTACTTGCTTGTTTATATTTTTTTCATAGCACAAATATTACATTTTATAAGGTATGATTTTATTTTTATGTTTTCTTTTTCAGTATGGTTAAAGACAATATTTAATTAAAGTAAAACCAATTTTTAAAAAAAATACCAGATGCGGTATTTCCAATTTAAGTTTTTAATTAGTTTACAGTAAAAACTCAATTTTTTATATTTCTTAAACATAGTTTATTCTCACAATAGTTATATTTAAAAAAAATGCTTGATATTTTGATATCGTTTGTAAAAAAAAAAAAAAAAAAAAANAAAAAAAAAAAAAAAAACGCACATGCAAATAAAGTATAACGAATAATTAATTGCTTTGAAATAAAATTTAATTACTAATTTTTCCCTTTAATTAAATTCTTTTTGAAATGTCACCTTTTTTAAAAAAGAGAATACTATGTTTAACAATTTTTTACTACAGTTTTTTTTTAATGATTAATACCAATCCATTTTTCAGGCTAAATTTCAAAATACACAATTCTTTTTTTAATATTTAGATTTATTATAAACAAATATAGGCATTTTGACGATAAAAACCATTATTATTATTGCGAGAATAGTAGAAGCGAATACAAACTGAAAATATATTTTAAAAATATTTTTAACTTTATAACATTTTCATTTAGAAATGGTTCTAAACTGATAAGATACATTTCTATCTTAAAATATAAAGTACTCTTTTCAATTTGATTCAATTTAATAATGTATCAAAATATTTTTTTAATTACTCTTATCAGTTTTTAAAGTTTCAAGATTTTGTTTTCATTCTTTATTTTTTTTGATGAACAAAATAAATTTTTCGTGGTTTGAGATAACAACTTATTTTATGTCAGGAAATAGTTTTTAATAATTATCTCTCGGATAAGATATTGAGTTGTTACATTTGTGTGAAACTCATATACAATTTAGTAGCAATCTTTGTTTTATTTCTTACAAAAAATAGCAAACTACAAATAAAAATTTTTAAAATTATTATTTAAGCGTACTCTTATTTTTAAGGTGATAATTTCATAGTTGATAAAATTAGTTGACTTAATTATAAGATGTAAACATTAGTTAGCGCTATTTTAAAAATATAAAACGTGTTTATTCTATTATAATTAACTTATTTAGTCCAAACTTTTAAGATAAAGATTATAGGAAAACTGTCGAGAAAGAAAATATTTAAAATTAGTTTCGTGCTTATGTCAGTTGTATGCTTTATCACAAATTAAATATATGTTCTTTTGCCAAAATAAAAGGCAAATTTATTGTTTATTTATAAAAAAGCAAAATCGGAAATTATTTTTTACATTGAATTTCATGTGATTCCTAGGAAAGAAATATTAAGTAATTTTATTTCATGCACTACTAATATACAAACCATATTTAAACGGCTAATATTTTATTAAATTATATTGTAAAAGTATTTTTCACTTAAAATTTAACATTATAGTTGTTTGAGATTTAATATTACGTAACTTGAAAGTTGTATTTTGTATCGATGATAATAAAATAAAGAGTTTGTGTGCCTACGTGCGCGTGTATGAGCCGCTGGTCACATAAACTCTTGAAATTAAAACAGTGAGTCCATGAAGCAACTTCAGCCTCCCAACTGAAAAAAGAAATCAACATTCCAAAATTTAATCTAATTAGTTCCGAAGTGGTAAGGATACTAGCAAAATTCTTTCCGGAGATGCAGAAAGATATAAATATTCATTAAATTGCTATTTCAAAAATCTTGTGCGTTTAATTGTCTTTAATAGTTTTCATACAAAAATTTCAATAATTTAATTAAAACCTACTAAACTAATTAATTTTGTCAATTCAATTTGTCATTTTTTTCAGCTCTAAAATTATATAACAAAAAAAAATCATGTTGTCAAAAAAAATCATAAAAGTTTTTAAAAAAAATAACATGTACAATAAAAGAAACAGTGACTTTTAGTGTTCTATAATCTATGTATCATTTATTCTATTGTTTAATCTTCTAATCTACACAATTTATTAAATTATTATAGAATTAAGTTAAAAAGACTCGTAACTAGCATTATTTACAAAAGCATTATTAAAACGAAATAATAAAAGCAAATAATAAAAGTTCCAGCCAACTTTTTTATTTATTAGATTTTCAGAGTGCAGATGGCTCTTTCAGGCGACCTTAAGGAGCGACATTTGAAAAGGGAAAAAGTTTCAGCATCCTTTTAACTCTAAACGGTTCTGAATTTCCAAATATTTAACGTTAGTGATGTTTGAAAAACAACTTTGCTGGATTAAAAACTGAGCTTGTTGCACGCTTTTTTAATAATCAATTATTTTTTATTCGTAAGCTCAAGGATCAACGTTGGTCGATACCATGTGAGGGCTACGTCACCAAATTAGTAGTACAGTTATTTGTATTTATTTTGGTTACAGCTACACTTGTGAAACATGTTTCTAATTAACCAAATAATTTCGAATCAAAGGCAAATAAAATATAAAAAATAAGTCATGTACTAGGGAGAAAAATAAATGGCAAAAAATTCATATATTAAGGTAAATGTTGAACTATCATGAATTGGTTAGATAAATATTTGGTATCAAATGTTTCTAAATACATCAAATATTCATTTGAACTTCAAAAAACGCCTCATCTAATAACGTGAAGTCACAAAAAAGGCAACAAATAAAAAATTTGGAATTATTTAATTTTTATTAATAGTGCCGGTATATGACACTCAATTTTATGCATGATTTTATAGTGTTATTTATTACCTATTTACTGATTTTATATTTATTATTTTAAAATATATAAATATTTTTTATCCCGTTTGAAGAACCAGGTTTTAACTAGTCGTAAATATTTATTAAGTAACTTTTTTGCATTGGCAGACAATTTTATTAAATGCAACTGTCATCTATTTTTTTTTTATTTTTTTGGAATTTCTCTTATTTATGGATTATATAACTTGTTTTCATTTTATATTAGATCTCAAGAGTTTAAAGGATTTTTCGTTTTTTAAAAAAGAAAAGTTTTATTTTTAAGAATGACTTGAAAGTGGTTTCCTGCAATGTCACTAAGAAAGTTATTTATTTATTTAATTATTAGTTAGCTTATCTTTATGGATTTAGAAACTGTTTTGTTAAAGACAAATTATACTTTTCTTTTATTTACAAACGTTTTCTGGATTATATTGCAATTCAGTTTTTATCATTTATAGATATTTTTGGCATTTTGAATGTTCTGAATTTTTGAACTTTTTTTTTAATAAAAACTTTTGTTTGTAAGTCCGACTCGAAAACAAAATTTTTTGTTTGTTTGCTATTAAATTACTTTTGAACTTAAACGAATATTTTGTTAAATTCAAATCAGATTTTTTAAAAATATTTGTTAAACAAATATTTGTTACAATATTTGTTAAATTCAACAAATATTTTAACAATTATTAAATGTTCTCTAACAAATATTTGATGAATTCAAATCAGAATCAGTCGGATTTTATCGCAATTCAGTTTATATCGTTTATACATATTTTTGGCATTTTAAATCTTTCGAATTTTTGGACTTTTTTTAATAAAAACGTTTGTAAGTCCGACTCGTAAATAACATTTTTTAGTTTGCTATTAAATTACTTTTGAACTCTAACAAATATTTTCGTAAGTTCAAATATAACAAATTTTAACACTTTTTTTGAGGTTACAAATTATATATTAATAACTATACCAAAATTCTAAAACTTTTTCCTGAATTATAAATTTTATACGAGATCTCTAAATTTTAAGGATTTTTATTTTCAAATTTCTTTTTTTTTTTCAAAACAATCCAAATTATTTAGAATTATATTTTTAGTATGGTTTCATGCCATCTGATATTATCACGTAAATATTATCTGAGAATTAAGCCTTGGTCAATAATAGGGGTGTTATTAAAGATCGTGTTCTGCAAACTATCTGCGCATGAAAGCAATCTATAAAAAGAACTCACTCGATAACGTGATGAGAACGAGTGCCAAAACAGAGAACCGTCCCACGTTTTGCATGATTTTCCTCTTCCAAGCGGGATGCAGAACACACTACAACCTCCAGAGATCTGTTTCATCCTACAAACTCTCTTCTTCTCTTTCCGAAGAAGAAGATGCCCGACGCGCCCTCCCTTTCTCACTTCACCTGGAAGTTCGAATTGAGGAAGAGACTGAAAAAGAACCGAAGGAAGAAGAAGAAAAAAAAAGGAGGAAGATCGAGGTAGATGTCGTTTGGAGAAGCAAAAAAGGAACCGAAAAACATTAGTTTGGACCTTCTTTTTATACTATTGATGTCAAAGACTTTATTGCGATGTTTTTTGAATTGATTATTTTTTTTCTTCTTTTTCATACAAACTCCTTAGGTTTTCGAATTTTTTCCCCTTTTTTCTTCTTTTTTTTAATTTTGTAACTGATCGCATAAACGAGGAGAAAAAAGTTCTAAACGGGACGGCTATTTTTTACTCCGTCCGTTTCGTTTACTCTTTTTTGTGTTTTTTGAGATGGCTAGTGAGTGGCAGCCTTAAGAAATCATCTGAAAAAAGTAAAGCTGGAATATTCGTCACTGTGTCACATATGTCAGGCGAATTCAATTTTGAATTCAATAGAACATTTCTTTTTATTGTGTTTTTATAAATTGTACATTTTTTAATTAATATCCTTTTCTTAGAATGCATCTTCCCTACATCATAGCATTAAGAAATCGTCTGAAATAAGTAAAGCTGGAATATTCGTCACTGTGTGACGTATTTCAGACGAATTCAAATTTGATTTCAATAGAAAAAAAATTTTAATTGTTTTTTTTTATAAATTGTACATTTTTTATTTGGTGTCATTTTTTTAGAATGCATCTTCCCTACATCTACATTCGTACTAGAAATTATTTATTTATAAATGGTTATTGAAAATTATTCCTTCAAAATTGTTCCTCATTAGTTGTTTACTTTTTTTATGTTCTCTACATCTTTGAAATGGCTAGTGAGTGGCAGCGTTAAGAAATCGTCTGAAAAAAGTAAAGCTGGAATATTCGTTACTGTGTCACATTTCAGAAGAATTCAATAGAACATTTTTTTTATTGTTTTTTTTTTTTATAAATTGTACATTTTTTAATTGGTGTCATTTTCATAGAATGCATCTTCCCTACATCTACATTCGTACTAGAAATTATTTATTTATAAATGATTATTGAAAATTATTCGTTCAAAATTGTTCCCCTTTTGTTGTTTACTATTTATTTAATGACTGAGTAATAACTACGCTGAAAAAAATATGGTCATAACTATAAGAATATGGGGAAATGTATCGTGTTACTGACTCTATGGGAGCACCAAAAAAAATTCGATAATTTTTGCAAAAACGCTTTTGCAATTATTTTGGTAATTATTAACAACCAGTGGATAGGTGAGATAATTCACGTCAGCTTAGACACGCCTATTTAACACTGCTTGAATTATGACAACCTAACAAACTGAATTATTATAGACGATTATAGTTCAGCTTCCAGACGATTATAGTTCAGTAAATTTCAGCTTCCTACCTTTCGTTGCCAACACTAAAATGAAATTTCTATAATCGTGTGAATAAAATTGCTTTATCATAAATAAATAATGTTGATTTATATTGAAGAGAATTTAAATCATATAAATATGTTGTTCTGCAATACTTTTTGGCCATAATATGAAATTATTAAATTTATTTCAATTTAAAAAAAAATATGTGGTATGATTTTAAATTTTCAAAAACTTTTACTCGAAGTTTAAACATATCTAATCTATTCTAACTTTTAGATTTTCGTTATATTTTAAAATATAACTTCATTAGTTCAGAAACTTGGAAAAAAGGAAAAACCGGGAAAATCTTTAGATGTGGTAAAAATTTATAACGAAAGTAGTGTAGTCTACATTTTTAATATTTTAGATATGACAAAAATAGTACTATATTTTTCCGTCTTTGTCTGCTACAAAAAAGTAATTTTTTTAAAATTTTTATTGCATATTTTTTTTAGTTCTATGTTAGTTAGTTTCTTATGTTAGAAAATAATCTAAATTTTGATTGGCGCTAAATTGTACAATAATATTACTCTGTAAATTGCATTGTCGTTAGACGTTTAGAGGTCCAGTCGAATTTTAAGGAATCTAGCATGTTAAAAAGAGACCACCATTGTGATTTAGATAAATTCTAATTTAAAGATAAATTTTGTTTGTGTCAGTCAGAAAACGATGAAAACTTTTATTGTCACATGACAACGAGCTCCCGTCGCGATTTGAGCCCTCTAGATTGACGATATATACACTTAATCCTATGCTAGAGTCTTGATTGACGATAAATACACTTAATCCTATATTTCTGTACTGACTTGCATAAAAATTTGATACAATCTTCTTTCTCGTTTTTGCTTAACCTTTTGCTTTCGTCACGTTGAAGTCATTTTGATCCACTTATTGTAGCAGCCGTAAGCAAGAGGTTAAACGGTGACTTTTACAGTAGTGATCTAGTTTTTCAAATTTTATGAGTAACTTGAAATGAAATGTAACTTAATACATTATTTATTTTATTTAACTGTAATTTTAAATTTTTCTGAGCGTAATTTCGTTTTTTCAAAATTGATTACATTTGATGAAAAATTGATTGATTGGCAAAATGGGCCTTGGTTTCGATTTGATGGCGTCCACACAAGTCTCAATTGTAATTGTTCAATTGTAATTGTTTCAATTGTTCAAGAGTTATAATAAAAGTGCGCATGAGTTGCTTTGGCGATCGCTGCTGCTTTTCTTTTTCTTTTCAGATATTTTAATGTATTTGCATAGTAATAATTTAAAGTATGTATACATTCTTTTTATTATTAACGTTTAATGACTGTCTTGACGGTGATTTCAATATAAATTATATGCTGGTTATATGACGGTGATTTTAATAATGTGCTGAAGAAGAAAAAGTATTTTGAAACACTTACATAGGCAGGATTTGAAAACCAATCAGACGACAAACATCCATTGAGACAGTTTGTGCAACCCATGATTTGAATATGTTGTGGCGTTTAACCGAGTCAATCCAGAAAGAAAAAGCTCTTGACTAATAGGTAACCAGTTATCGTAATAAGACGATCACGACTTTTTGTTGATTTTTTTTTGAAATATATTATTACATAAATTTTTTGAAATATTGGAAATAAGAAAGTTTAATTGTTTTATGTTAATACATTCTATACCGTTCCTCACGTCTTGCTAAAAAACCTCGTCACATTTTGCATCTTCAGGTAATTTTTGAAAGTCCCTTCTGGTGATGATATGAGTCGCTCAGAAGCCAATGCGGTTAAGTCCAAAACACAACAATTGAGAAAATTAATGTTTTTTGATACATCAGTTTTTAAAATTCCTGGTTTATTAATTTAATTAGAAAAGCGTATAAACTCTTTTTTCGAGGTGTAAACTCTGCAAAAAAACAAGATATGTGCATGATGTGTAAATAAAAACGTAAGTATTTATTGAAATAATGAATCTTAAAAATTTTAGGACTTATACCTTTTGGCAGCTGAAAAAGATAAGAAATATATATAGTCTACTAGTATAAACGAACTTTTATTTTTCACAATCACTAGATACAGTGACTAATAGAAAATAAACTGTTGGATTATTTCAAAAATTGTTTTTTACTTCAAAACTAGAGTGGCGCTTTTCTTTGTTTTAGGAAATGAAAATAAAACAAATAAATAAAAAAAAAACTAAAAATACCACATTTTAAAAAAATACTACGAAAAATACCATACCCCTTTTTTTGGTGAAAAAATACTACCGTAGTATTAAAAATACTACGTCTGGCAACCCTGAAGTTACTATGAATTTCTTGTTTTTCAGTGTTACCAACAAATATCGAAAGAAGAATTTAATTTTAATTTCAAAGCTTATGTAAAAAAATATTGATAAAAGGTGGACTTATTCACAATGGCTTCTGAAATTATTATACAATATATTCAGAAGCTATTAAAAAAAGGGCTGTCTAACCTAGAAAAAAGTAACCAACGAGTAAATCCTTTAATAACTAAGAAGATTATTATTTATTTCATCAAAATTTCCAAAAATCAGAAAATATCAAAAAATGGACTTCCGCATTGGCTTCTGAGCGGCTCATATCGTAATAAATTCACCTAATTACAATAAAAATCGATTTTGACTTAGGTTACAATTCGCTCATATTTTCAGTTAAAATTTGAGTACTGTAGCTAATCGGATTTTTGACTGATGGTTAATTTCTTTTAGTGATATTATTACGATAAATTTTATCTCTAGTCCTTAACAAATGAATAAAATGGATTTTGTCTTTAATTACAAAGCTCCGGAAGAAATTTGAGTTCATAAGCTGGTCGAAAAATGATTGAAATGTTTATTTAAAGATTCTACCCCAACACACACGAAAGCGAGTTAATTAAATTAATTCCTTTTATAGATGATTTTCTTAGAGATAGGAATAAATCACTTTGGAAATTACTATTTTCTAAATTTTACAACAAATCTATTACTATTCAAATACATTATTAATTAAAAGAAATCTAATTTCAGATTTTTAATAACACAGTTTTATCAGTTTTTGTATTTTTTTTTTATAATCTGCATTTTTTTAAGAAACCAAAACTTTTTTACACTATTGGAAGTTTGGTTTTATACGAAAATATTTAAAGCATTGAATGAAATAAATTGACATCTATATGTTAAAGAAATAAAAAGGTTATCAAGAAAAAATGACTTTTTACGGATATTAAATAAAACTAATTTTTTTAAACTTAATGTTAATATGTACGTTACCTGCTTAAGTAAATTAAATATAATCAAACGAAATAATAAACCTTATTTTGATATTGAGGACACTGAAAAAATAAAGATTCACCACCTTTTTTTGTTCTAAATAAAATACATCACATTTGCATTTAGTTATTTTTAAATTTCTAATTTTCTTCGAAAAATATTTGAAAATCATTTTTTTATTATTTATCCCTTTTTTTTCATATCAAAGATAAAGTAGAGAAATTTGATGAAGAAAGACTAAATAGTTTTTTAGTAAGTTGGTTTAGTACTACTTTGATTATGAAATTTTCATTAATGGAGTAGCTAAGAAAAAACAGTGTATAGAGAAATAGAAAAGTATAAGAG